AACAGGATGCGAGCCCCGGGAGGATCATTAAATTTGCTCCTTTGTTTGAGAAAAAGAAAACATGGACAGGGGGATCAGCAACAACTATTCTTTAACAGTGGCAATTCAACAACAACGACAACAACAATACGAACAGCAACAACAACACCAACAATAAGTTTGATGTTGTTCGCTCTTATCTGCTCGGGGGGCCGTCAAAGCTTATTTCCCAAACCCTGGGTACCCGCCTGCCTCGTCTTTGATCGTACCCTTATACGAGGTATATATTTCTTCTGTGCAGGCCAGGCCCCGGCAAGCGGCGGGGCGGCCGCAGACCGTCGGCCCGGCCAGCGGCAGCGCTGATCGGCGGCGGCCAGACCTCAGGAGGGACGGACGGACAGGGGACCAACCACGACCACGACGACGGCGACGACGACGACGACGACGACGACGACGACGACGACGACGGCGGCGGCGGCGACGGCGACGGCGACGGCGACGACGACGACGACGAGCGAGCAAAAGCGAGAGCGAGAGCGAGACTGGCAGCGACTGCGGGCCCTCTAGGGCAGGGGGGGTGCCACGAAGGGCGACAGCGGGGCCACGAAGGGCATGCGCATGGGGCCACGAAGGGCGCGGCGCGAACAAGCGGGGGCCACGAAGGGCCGATAATGCGGGGCCACAGAGGGCAACGACGGGGCCACTGAGGGAAACACAGGGCCACGTTGAGCAGCGAGGGGGCCGCGAAGGGCGACGGCGGGGCCAGTAAGGGCACGCGTGCGGGGCCACGACGCGCGCAAACGAGCGGGGGCCACGAAAGGCATACGTAGATTGGGCCGCACAGAACAAGAACGGGGCCACCGAGGGTAACAACGGGGCCACGAAGCGCATGCACATGGAGACACAACGGACACGAATGAGCGGGGGCCACGAATGGCATACATAAATGGGACCACGACGGGCAGCGAGCGGGCCACGAAGGGCTGCAACGGGGCCACGAAGGGCAGCGATGGGGGCCACGAAGGGATGCACCAGGACCACGAAGGGCAGCGAGGGGGCCACGAAGGGCTGCAACGGGGCCACGAAGGACAGCGAGGGGGCCACGAAGGGCTGCAACGCGGCCACGAAGGGCAGCGAGGGGGCCACGAAGGGCTGCAACGGGGCCGCGGAGGGCAGCGAGGGGGCCACGAAGGGCTGCAACGGGGCCACGAAGTGCAGCGAGGGGGCCACGAAGGGCTGCAACGGGGCCGCGGAGGGCAGCGAAGGGGCCACGAAGGGCTGCAACGGGGCCACGAAGAGCAGCGAGGGGGCCACGAAGGGCATACATGCATGTGACCACGAAGGGCAGCGAGGGGGCCACGAAAGGCTGCAACGGGGCCACGAAGGGCAGCGAGGGGGCCACGGAGGGCTGCAACGGGGCCGCGAAGGGCAGCGAGGAGGCCACGACGGGCTGCAACGGGGCCGCAAAGGACAGCGAGGGGGCCACGAAGGGTTGCAACGGGGCGACGAAGGGCAGCGAGGGCGCCACGAAAGGCTGCAACGGGGCCACGAACGGCAGCGAGATCCTGATTTCTAAGTAAGCTGCGAGGGAGTCCGAAGCGTGAGCGCGACTCCTGGGTCCCTGAGTGTCGGGAGCGCGGCGCTTTAATTGCAGGAAATGTCAACACAAGAGCGCGATTCTGTAGTAAACTGCAAGCGCGTATCCATCGAGAGCGCGACTCCAGAGCGCCGAGAGAGCGACCCCTTTCATAAAGTATAAGGACGTCCCAAGCGAGAGCGCGCTTCCTGAGTAAAACGCGCTGAGGTCTCAGGCGGGAGCGGGGGTCCGGGCTAAAGTGTGAGTAAATGTCAGGCGGGTGTTGCTGTTGTTGTTGTTGAACATTATTAATTCTAAAGAATAATTATTGTTGGGCCCCCTGGTGCACGCCCCCCCCGCCGCGCCTAGGCCGCAGCCACGTTTTCATCATTTTCGTGAGGAAGCCTCAGGTAATTCGATGTGATCAAGATCCGGTTGTTTTGTTCCCCCCCGCTTTCCCTTGCAAAAAACACTATAAAATGACATTTCTTGTTCTAATATAATCAAATTTCAAGAATCCCTTGCAAAAAATAAGGTAAAGTGGACATTCGCGCGCGCAAGACGAAATCCTTCCAAAAGCTTAGTGTTCGGAGCGATTTTAACATAAAAACATCAAAAAACCAATGGTTTTTCAACAAAAAAATGTCAAAATCTCATCCCGCGCGCTCTTGCGGATTCGTAGGAAACCCAACACTTTTTAAACATTTCTGTCAAACGGGCTTTTGCGAGCAACTTTTTCGAACTTCTGCGACAACGGTTGCGCACCTGCCAGGGCCATCATCCCTGTCAAATAATACCATGCGGGACACATTCGTTTTTTCTTCGCGCGCGCACGCCGAAATCTCCAAAAACCATTGGGTTCTGTGGGTGTGTACCCCACGCCAGTGTAGTAGCCACGGTCGTCCGCACGCCACGAAGTGAAGTGTCCCAACGTCATAGGGCGGGAAGCTGGGTTTGGGTGGTCGCGAAGAGTCGTTTGGATATTTGGTAGAGCTTGTAATGCCCCCCCACGAAGTGGGGGTATTGCCTGGTGTCGTATGAAAACCCTGGCACTGGGGAGAACACCACGCGTTCGGGTAAAATGATTGTTGTTGTTGTTGCTGTTGCTGTTGCTGTTGCTGTTGCTGTTGCTGTTGTTGTTGTTGTTGTAATATGGGGGCTAACAACACAGCTTGACCCCTCGGGAGTTCCCTTGCCGAAAAACAGAGTGCGAGCCACGGGGGAAGCACTTTAATCGAAAGAACACACTGGTCACCGGAGGGGCGATCAGCCAGACTTATTTTTTCAGTAGTGGGAGTCCAACAACAACAACAACAACAACAAAAACAAAAACAACAACAAAAACAACAACAATGATGCGTTCCCTCATGCGAGATGTTTCCACACGAAGCATGCGACCATCATGGTAACCATCCCCCTCATGGGGGACTATTGTTCTATAGCGGGGTCCGTTATTCCCATTCCCAGATATCCCTCACAATGAGGTCTTGCCCTCCCCCGAGGAAATTCAACATATCCCGCCTCGAAAACGCATGCCCGCGCCTTTCTGCGCCGATGCGAGACCGCCAGTGGAGCCCCAGCCAAGGGTAAAGCACAAGGAAGTATCGAGCGACAGGATTGCCTTGGTGGGGATGGGGGCTGTCGGCGGCGAGGCAAGGACCTGGCCTTGAATAGGCAGGGAGGAAGTCTCGAGCAAGGCTGCTGTTGTTACTGGGAGCGGTGCCAATGATGAAGAGAGTAGGGCGTTAGTCCAGCGTTCAACAAATCGAAGTCTCGAGCGAGAACGCTGATTTTGTTGGGGCGGCGGTTGTCGGCGGCGAGGAGGAACAACGCCTTGAGTGCGAAGGGAGGAAATCTCGAGCGGGAGCCGTCGGCGGCGAGGGACAGCACCGTCCTGAGGAAAAAGGGAGGAAGTGTCGAGCGGGATCGTTGTTCTTGTTGGGAGCGGTGCCAGTGGGAAAAAGAATAGGGCGTCAGTCCAGCGCAAAACGGGAGGAAGTCTCGGGCGGGAGCGCTGGTTTTGTCGGGACGGCGGTTGTCGGCGGCGAGGAGGAACACCGCCTTGAGTAAAAAAGGGAGGAAGTCTCGAGCGGAAGCGTTGTTGTTGCTGGGGGCGGCGCCGATGAGAGGAAGAGTCGCGCGCCAGTCCAAGGTAAAACGGGAGGGAAGTCCCGAACGGTAGCGCTGGTTTTGTTGGTTGGGACGGCGGCTTTCGGCGGCGAGCAGGAGCACCGGCCCTGAGTGAAACAGGAGGAAGTCTCGAGCGGGAGCGTTGTTGTTGTTGGTGTTGTTGGGGGGCCGGTTTCGACTCCCCCAAACCACTTGAGCGTGAGCCTCAGTTTCAATGAAAATGTAGCCAGCGCCAAGGCGAAAACGCCAAGACGCCTTGGGGGTCCAACAATAATACTTGTTTAGTAATTACCATGTAACAGCAACAACCTCATCATCATCATCATCATCATCATCAGCAGCAGCAGCATCATCATCATCATCGACAACAACATCAACAACAATAACAACTGTAACAACCCGCACTGCGGAACCCCACATCAGCCACGCACGCAGGGACAGTGAATGACCGTTCGGCCAATTCATTCTGCTATGTGTGCATATAAGTATGTATATATCCTCCCATTCTATCAAAGCCATAAGCATAGGTAGGGGAAGCCCAGTAGCTCTAGGCGAGAGGCATGGGTCGTACATCGTAGTAATTGCGCACCGTTGCTCTAGATTTGCCACCACTGCATATAGTGCTAGCGGGCAGAAGCTTACCGCGGCTCAGCGAAATTGTGCAACCACGCAAATACACACGGCACCGTTCAGACTAGGTAGCATGACCGGTGACTTTTGCTGTAAGCGGGGAGACTAGTATGCGCGCGCTGTGCTGTGCAATTGCGAGCAGCACGCATCAACATTGCAGTTATGAGCACTTCAAGGCATGGCTTCAAGGTCATTTGAAGCAATCGCATGAATTTTCGAACTGCGCGTCTGGAGAAGGCACGACGTAGGAGAAACCCTTATGTGTAGCTTCTGACGGCAGCGCTTGGTTCATGTTGTGGTCTAATTATGTTGCTCGGGTCGTGAGTTTTGCCGCGCATTCTTTTCACGAGTGAGCGGGGGGAGGGGACATCTGGCTTGACGCAGGTCGTTCGGCGATTTGGCAGGGTCGGTCGAGCTTGCGAAGTCGACATTGAAGGCAGCACTATGCACAGAGTAATCAAGAAAAATGATGACAATGTTGCCTGGCTGATCGCAATACGGATGGACTGTTCGAGTTGATTTCGCACCCCAGTCCATAAACACAATTGCAGCTGGAAGTGTTAATGGAAACAGCCTGGATGAAGCATGTTGTATTGCTTCGCGGCAAATTGATATGGCGGTTATGGTGCGAGTATGTCGAAATATCTAGCGCGTGCGTGATTTGCATGCAGCATCGCACCCGGAGGTAGATTGGGCTGCTCATTTCGGTGGCATGGCGGCAGGATGCTTCTTTTGGTTTCTGATTGTTGCATGCTTCCACAGCGCTCTCTTTTTGAAGGGAACGGCGTGTGTAGAATACGCGTTATTCGCGGATCGGTTGTGGTTTTCCTCAGGGTCTCGGTAGAGAGTGCGGACCATGTAAAAAGTGGCCCTCTTCCCGTATGTCAGATTGCTCACAGCAAAATTGTGATTGCAAAGTGCTAGAAATTTGTGCGATGTGGTCCGAGAGGCCCAGACATATATATATATATATATATATATATATATGTATGGCGAATCAATATGTTCGAAATGTCAGCCCCTTGAGGTCTCGACCACTTCCCCGAGACCACGTTTCGTCTTGAGTAGTTATTGTGCACGGCCCTCCTGATGCAGATAATAGCCCCTCCAAAATGATTCGATGCGGGGATCCGCAGACGCGCATCCCGTTTCTAGCGAGGATGAGAGATGTCGAGTGTGTGTGTAATATCTACATTCACGTTTTACAATATACATTGTAGATCTTGCATGGCAGATGGAGTGCTGTTGGAATTGCATGCAAGTGCGTCTGGGTAGGAATGGGTCTCCCTGGACGGCTCCCAGCGTCGGATGCCCAAGTGCCACACTTGCCACATCGCGGCGATCATGGGGCTATACGCTTGGCATCGCTCGGGCTTGTGCACTTTTCTCGGCGAGGACAATCCTCGTCCTCCTCCTCGCGGTGACCACGGGGCTATCCATGTAGACTCTCCTATCGGACTAAAACACAGGATTTCCCTTGAGAAGATCCCACCACAATCTGGGCGCGAACGATCCAGCGTAGTAACCACGTGGGGTTCCCCTTTTAAAATGTTGAATTGCAATGTTTGCTGCATCGTTGTGACCATGAGTCTCTGAGTAGGAGGAGGATGAAGAGGAGGAGGGGGAGGACTAAATGTACATGGAGGGGAAGGAGAATGAATAGCAGCAGCAGCAGCAGCAGCAGCAGCAGCAGCAGAGGAGGGCGAGGAGGAGGAGGACGACGATGACGAGAAAAAGAACGAGAAGGAAAAAAGAGTGAAGCAGGAGTGACGGGAAGGGCGACGAGGAGTAGGAGGAGGAGATGGAGGAAGGGGGGATGGAGGAGGAGTTGCAGCAGCTGGGGGAGGGGCAGAAGGAGGAGGAGGAGGATGACGATGATGACGTCGACGACGAAGATGACGACGACGAAGGGGAGTCAAGGAGGAGAGAGAGTGGCAGTGGGTACGGATCAGGACGAGGAGGAGGGGGCCAGCGGCCGCAGGCATGACCGTCTCTGCGACGTGCTTCGCGCGGAAGCTGCAGACGCCCAGTTGGAGCATCGCGACAGGAGGGGGGGCACCGGACTTGGGAGCGGAGGGCGAGGGCATCATTGAGCGTCGGTGCCCTCTCCTCCTCGGTTTCTCGTCCTCTATCCTCGTCCTCCCTCCTCGTCCTCCCTCCCTCCTCGTCCTCATGGTCCTCCATCCTCGTCCTCCCTCCCTCCTCGACCTCCTGGTCCTCCATCCTCCCCGTCCTCGTTCATCACCGTCCCTCTCCCTATCCTCGCCCTCTCTCCAGCATAGTGCTCCTCATCGTCCTCCTCCTTCCTGGTCTCTCTTCCCTCCTCACCGCTCCGATCCCTCATCATCCTCCTTCATCCTCCTCCTTCTCCTGTCTACTCCTCTCCTTCCTCCTTGTCCCCCTCCCTCCTCATCCTCCTATGTCTTTTCCTCTCTCTCTCTCTCTCTCTCTCCTCCTCCTCCTCCTCCTCCTCCTCCTCCTCCTCCTCCTCCTCCTCCTCCTCCTCCCTCCTCCTCCTCTCATCCTCCCCCTCCCCCCTCCGCCTCCTCCTCCTCCTTTTCTTCCTCTCCTTTTTCCTCCTCCTCCTCCTCCTCCTCCTCCTCCTCCTCCCCCCTCGCCGCCCCCCGCCCCCGCAAAGTGCTCCGTGCGAGCGTCGTCTGCCAACAGAGGGCTCCAGGCCCGCTCGCTGAAGTTCTGAGCTCGTGTCCGTGGCCCACCCAGTTCTTTCGGGGGGGGGGGGGAATGGGTGGGACCAGGTCCCCCCTCACCCTCCTCACGCACTACCGGCGGGAACCCTTGCTCAGCACGTCGCTCCGCCAGCTCTGGCCCACCACGCCTCGGCTCGACACGCCAGGCGCGTCCCGGCACCAAAGCGCCAACGCCCCGAGCCATTCCCAGCCTCCCGCCCCGCGGAGCGGAGCGACACGCCGTCCACTTGCGGGGGCCGCCGCCGCGACGCCCGAAGCCAAAAAGTTCCCGACCGCACCCGACACCAGCGGCAGGGACCGCGGCGCACGCCCACCGCCGCGCGGCCGAGGCGGGCGGGCGGGCGGGGGGCCTCCGCCCCTGGGGGCGGCCCGCCTGCGGTGCCCGGCCGACGGCGCTCGCCGAGCCCTCGCGCTGCCCCGGGGACGCGGCCGCCGAGCACTTCCTGGAAGCATCGAGCGACAACGGCAGACCAAACAAAAAAAACAAGTTTTTGTTGGTCGGCGGGTCGAGAGCGGGCCTCTTCCGATTAAAGAGCTATGCGGGGCGCGCGAAGCACTCCAAAAAACAACAAAATAAAAAAAACACGCCATGAACCTGATGTCTTGGAGGCCCGCGCGGAGCTCTTGGATCGGCGCCGGGACCTCCCGGCGGCGCCTCCGGCGCTTGCCAGGAGGGCGCCGCTGCGCGGCTGGGGGGGCGCAGGCTCTCCATCGTCGAGTTCTCGCCAGGAGTTCCTCCTGACGTGCGGCCACGAAGCTCGAGAAAATCCGGCGGCTGCACGGATGGAGGGCGAACAATGTTCAGAAAGTTGGGCTCGAGGGCAGGGCGATGTCCTCCAAGTTTCGGTATGGTTTGAACGTTACGTCGTCGGATCTGGGTATGATCAACAAGGCGCATGCCGAATCACCATGCAGTCCCGCGTTGGCGCATGGGGAGGGGGCTCTGGCAGGGAGGGCGTGCTGCAGCATCAGTGGGTGTGTGCGTGCTGCGTTCGCTCTGGCCCTCCCCCCGTCTCCTCATCGTCCTCTGCCTTCCCCTCCCTCCCTCCTCGTCATGGCGCCTCTCCCCTCCCTTCCTCCTCGTCATGCGCCTCCCTCCCTCCTCGTCATTCCCCCCCCTTCCTCCTCGTCCTCCTGGTCTCCCCTGCCCCAGTCCACATCGTCGCCCGGCGCCTCTCCCCCCTCTTCCTCGCCGCCCTCGTCGCCCCCGCTCTCTCCTTCTTCATCCTCTCGATGGAGCAGGCTTTTGCGCCACCGCCGGGTCTCCGCCGGGTGCACTCTGGGCCAGATCCTTTGTGCGGATTCGGCTCCACCCTGGCCAGGCCGTGGAGACCACACACACGCACACACACACACATGCGCACAGCTCTGGCCCCAGAGGTGGGTCTGTTGAGGTCCGGTGGTGCGTGTGCGTTTTCCATCCCTCTCCTCCTGCCTCCTTCGCCTCCTCCTTTCCTCCTCCTCCCCCCCCCCTCCTCCCCCGCCTCACCCCTCGTCCTTTCCTTCCTGTTCCTCACCACTCGGGGCCGACGAGAGGCGGGAGCTGGGAAGCAGGGGGCGGGCTCGAAGCTCGGTGCGTTCAGCCTCGTTCAGTCCCGGCGTTGGGAGCACGCCCGTGTGCCTGGCCGCCCCTGGCGCCAGCTGCATGCAGCTCGGGTGGCGTGGCGCCCCCACCTCGTCAGGGCTCGCTTCGATTCCTCCGATTCGATTCGATTCGAGTTCGTTGGCTGCCGACTCCGCTTCGATCCGACTTGGGATGCCGATGTGGGCTGCGACTCCTTCTTGGAGGCATACTAGCCTGCCGAGGTCCGCCGATTCGACGTTTCCCGACCCGGCTGCCGATTTCCGCCGATCCGATTCATGTCGATCGCCGATCGGGCTTGTCGATTCGATTCTGGGCTCTCCTGCCCCCCCTTGCTATACCCCCCCTCTTCCGTCCTCCTACATTCAGCCACGGGGGAGGGGGGAAGAATTCTTCGGAGCACCCCTGCTTCTCAGAGGGCGCGGGCCTCGTCTGCAGATGTAGGGCCGGCGCCTTCTAAGAAGCAGCCTGCTCATAGGAAGCTTCCCCCCCTCCCCCGTGCCCCCCTTCTGCGCGCCGCCACTACACGTCACCAGCCTCGTCTTCAGCATCGCATGACCGGTCAGCATCCCTACTCGGCCATGGGATCTCAGCCCCGCCAGTTCACCCCCATCGGTGGGGATGGGCCACGAAGCCCGAAGGGAAGTGCATATATGATCCTAGGTTCGAGGGTTCACAGGCCCCCCGCCCCCCCAGACGGGAGTGGTCCCTTGGTCCCACGGCCAACCCCTCTCCAGATGGGATGGGGGTGGACGGCGACGGCGACGACGACGACGACGACGGAAGACGATGCCGACGACGACGACGGAAGACGATGCCGCCGACGACGACGACGACGGAAGACGGCAACAACAACGACGACAAACGACGACGACGACGAGGAGGACGACGACGACGACGATGACGACGACGGTGACGATGAGACGACGAGGACGACGACGACGATGACGACGACGACGATGACGACGACGGTGACGACGACGACGACGACGACGACGACGACGCCGACGACGACGACGACGACGCCGACGACGACGACGACGACGACGACGACGACGACGGAAGACGACGACGAGGAGGAGGAGGAGGAGAAGGAGGAGGAGGACGACGACGACGAGGAGGACGACGATGACGAGGAGGACGACGGTGACGATGAAACGACGATGACGACGACGACGACGACGACGACGACGACGACGACGCGGGCGGCGGCGACGGCGGCGGCGACGACGACGACGGCACCGCAGCACCACCGCACGCCAACAGGGGGAGGGGCGGGGGCATCGGCAGCCCCCACAGCCACACGCCCACAGGGGGGGGGGAGGGGGGAACCACGCCACGCCCACAGGGGGGGGAACCCATCGCGCGGGGGGGAGGGGGGCTGAAGGCATCAGCATAAGAGGGGGGGCGCCAGAGCCCTGAACCACGGATTCC